GCTCATAGTGACGTTGCTTTTCAGACCATTGGAAGAATCTGTATGCTAATAAACCAGCGTTCCTGAATCGGTTTAGGATGTCTTCTGCTACTTCTGGTGTAACCCTTAAGCCGCTTTGGTCTAATGCTGATTCAAGAACCTGTTGGGGAGAAGACATCATTACTTTGGATATTTTCTTGGTTACTTCTGCTACTTCAGTAGGCCTCTCTGCCGCCGCGAAGGGGAAATTGATTGCCTCCGACAACCTTGGGAAGGTGATAGCCTTTTCATCGATGAAGAGGTAATGGACGTCTGATTTTAAGACAATTAGTTTTAAAGATTAGTTTATATTTTACCTTCAAAACATATGTCTTCTTTAACAACATAAACGATTGGTTTGTTTCTGAAATTTGTAGTCGTTTATGTTATTGTCGTCTGGGAATTTTATTAGTTTATATTTTACCTTCAAAACATATGTCTTCTTTAACAACATAAACGAGGTAGTAAATTTGTGTTTCTGGAAGCAGGTAAATTGTGTGGTGTTTGTTGTGAGAAGGTAGTAAATTATGTGTGTTGTCCAGATAGGTAGATTAATTTCACACTTGAGAAGTAAAAAACTACTACAGGTTATTAAAACCATTTCTTTCACGGTACTCATGACGACCTAAGGAAAAATGTTTCAGAAGGTTTGTTTTGATGAGCTGAGCTTTTTGTTAGTTTAGAGGATATAATAGATTTTTGGTAAGAGTTTATGAGTTTTTCTTTGTGAATGTGATCTGTATTGTACATTTTCTTTCAGGGGTTTAGCGTTCTGCTTTTATATGGTCTAAGGATAGTGTGTAGCTTGATCAACAAACGGTTAACTATGATCGATGCGGAGAAAATATGTTACAGTGGTAGTCAATCCCAAGATAACTTTCAGAACAGGATAAAGTATGGCCTCTGGTGGGGAACGGTACACCAACGAGCAACAAGAAGTTGAATGCTGCATGCTATGAAGCTCAAAGAAAATTTCCAAGAATGTCATGTGTAGCTTCTGTTCTCGGTCAGTATGAATAGACTTCATGCAATGTTCTTATCGATTTGCATCAAGTACTTTTTGCATTTGGTAGTTTGTTGTTCAGTGATTTATTTTCAGGTGAATGCAACTGGGCAGTTTGTTGGTCTTGCAAGGTGATATGTTCGTTTGATTTCAACAAGAGTATTGGCAATAAGATAAATGGATTGGTTGCTACGGTGTGAAGTGGCATATCATCAAATATTGTACCAATCAGTGTCACTAAGAGCAGAGATTGTCAAGAGGTTCCTTAAACTCTCTGTAATCTCTTCAAACGTTATGGCTTTGAGCTGTAATGGTCATGCTTTTTTGTAGGTCATTTGGATCTCTTAAGGGGTTTATGAGAAAGAAGACATCTACACTTGACGATTTCCGAGTGTTGTGAGACTACACAAAAGATGGTAAGAGATAAATACAACAGCTAAGAAAAGAAAAGTAGGCGTAGAAGTTTAACCTGCCTTTGTTTGTATAATGTGTAATTTTAGTGATGCACGTTTTCTATAGTTTGAATAGGTCAAAATTGTGTATTTATTTTGTGTGCCAGCTGCAAATTAATGGGTTAAACTGTGAAATAATGTGCGATAAATATCCAAATGATAAAACAAATAACCTTTGTCATATGTATGTTGATGTCACCACAAATAAAATAATGAAAAATACACAAAGATATCAGTCTTATGTGAATAGCAATGCCAAAACAAGTGAATAGCAATGCCATATATATATTTTTTTGAAACAATGCAATAATATAGATTAATATTACATTTGTTACTGTAATATGTTTTTTAACAATTCTGATATCTTAATGGAGTACGTCAGTATACTAAAACTGTTATGGGTTTAGTATTGTTTTATGAAATGTCAGTATACTAAAATTGTTATGGGTTTATTATTGTTTTATGAAATCAAAGCAATTTGATTTCTGAATTTAAAACATAAAATTGTATTCAAACCTCCATCCCGTATTATATATATAAATATATTGTAGATCAACAACAGTTAAGTAATCTCTATGGGACAAACAAATATTATCGAATAAAAGAATTAGTGTCGGAAAAATGAAGTTGTGACAGTCCAAGCATGATCCAAAGACATATTGAGGCAAAATAAATACATATTTTCAAATGTAGTGCATTATTAAAAAAAACTATTACTGATTAACAACAACTACACGATTTTACATTTGACTTTGACAAAACAATGAAAAAGATAATAAGGAACTTACATACAAGAGCTAAATCGAAACATTTCAACTACAACCAAATCGAAGAACATAACGAAAGTCCTACCCAAAACAACGTTTTTCTCTTTTAATTGTTTAAGAATTTTAAATTTGTTATTCGCTTCTTTCATATGTAGAAAAAAATAGTACAATACTCCGCGCGTTTTTTCTACTAATTGTTTAAGAATTCTAAATTTATTATTTCGCTAAAATTAATTAAATAAAATCACAATTTTTTTCATACATAAAAAAATATAGTAGGATAGTTCGCGCGTAGCGCGAAAAAGAATCTAGTATTATTAAATGTTGGTTAATAATCGTTCATTTGTTTTTAATAAAATAAAAGTTTAGATAGTTTATGATCCAAATGCATTCCCCCGTCCCACTGTTTTTGTAAGATCAAAGAGTAACAATAATACTAACAAATAAGATACAAAATACAAAATACAAAATAATACTGAAAGCTATAGAACTATAAATTTGTTTTCAATAANTATTATTAAATGTTGGTTAATAATCGTTCATTTGTTTTTAATAAAATAAAAGTTTAGATAGTTTATGATCCAAATGCATTCCCCCGTCCCACTGTTTTTGTAAGATCAAAGAGTAACAATAATACTAACAAATAAGATACAAAATACAAAATACAAAATAATACTGAAAGCTATAGAACTATAAATTTGTTTTCAATAAACCGATATGCTTCTCTCCTTTTAGAATGTTAGTTATTTTAGAAAATGTATAATATATGTAAGATATTCTATATGTAAGATATTCTAGATATTCTGTATTTTCTTATGACTTTATCTATAGTTGGTTAAATTGGTTTAATTTATTCTTAATAATATGTTATATACTTCTTAATTTTTGTGTATTACTTAAAATGAGTTTATAATAAATAAATAAACAAATGGATTAATTAGTCTAGAAGGACAATTGAGTGAATCAATGGTGCTAGTGATCTATGTCTCTTTTATGTTGCATCAATCTATGGACTAAAACCTAGTGGGTGTATAAACTATATGAAAAAAAATACATTATCTTTTTGGTTTGCTTCTTGACTGTACTATGGTGTTAATTCATATTAATAAAACTTTCAATTATGAAAATATTTACTTCCGGAGAAAATGAAGACACATTAACTAAATGTGCTTAGACCGCAAAGTAAACAGTGAGACGTGGTCGGTTTGCTTCCATGTATTTTGGAGTAACTAATTGACCATATTAACTTATTATTAAGTCTTTAGTCTTTCTCTTCTTATAACCGTTACCGACACTGCATGCAGATCAATTTGCATGGTAACAGAATTAATCAAGGTACATAGAAAAAAATATTACACGTCATGGTCTACTACGATTCTTGCCTTTCCATCAATGCAGAGGAGCCAACTTCAAGTGCAATTCATTGTCATCTAATTAACTGTATTATCAAAAGTCAAACTATCTTTTAAATATTTTCTTTCACCTATTTTTACGTTTTTGACAACTTTGGGTTGATTTATATTATATAGTTTTAATCACTTTTTATTTGCTATGTGTCCATGCTAAATTTATTAAAACCGGTTTGAATTAAAACAATACTTGGTTTATTTGAGTCTACCCCAAATAAACCAGAAGTAGAAACACTCTGTGTCAACGAGAAGGTTCTCACGGCCTTAGAAACAAAGTAGAAACGTTGTTATTTGAGAGACTGAAACAACTAACCAGTTTCTGATGTATCTAAAACGTAACAATCTACTGGTTTCAACTTCAATTACAACTTTACAACAATTGAAATGGATCTTAAGCCAATCAGAGACAAAACCAAACGTTCAGAACCAGCTTGTTGTCAATCACACAAAGGCTCATTGACCAAAAGATTCATCTTCTCATTAAGAAACTTAATCACATCATCTCTGCCTTCTTTTAAAAGCAACTGTCTTAATCTCCCAAACGTCACACCTGATGGTCGCATCCCCATCTCAATCATCTCCTCCAACAAAACACAAGCCCTTTGAGTATTACCCTCCTCACACAACCCGTTAATAAGAACAGCAAACGTATGCATACTCGGAAACACACCCTTCTTCCTCATCCGCCACCACACTTTATTAGCAGTCTCTATGTCCTTCTTCTCACAAAACATCTTTATCATCATCGTGTACGTGTCTGCATCTGGCTCACACACTCTAATCATCTTCCTAAACACATCAAACGCTTCATCTCTCTCTCCACACTCTATCAAATGGCGTAGAATGATGTTACATGACTTTGAGTTAGGCGTCACATCTTTACTCTTCATCTCTTTCAAAACCCTATACACATTCTTCATCTTATTAGCCTTGCAAAACGCGCCTATCAACGAGTTGAAAACCGCTACATCGGCTTTTATCCCACTTCTCTCCATCTCTAGAAACGTATCAACAGCCTCTTCAAGCCTATTCTCTGTTCCACAAGTATGCACAAGCACACTATAAATGAAACTCGTCGGCTTGCAATTCCTTGAATCCATGCTTCTCACAACCCCAAGAGCTTCATCAACACGTCCAGCTTTACAGAATATATCAACCATTGTACTGTAAGTCACCACATCAGGCTCACAACCAGCATTAACCATCTCCTTAAAAACCTCTCTTGCCTTTGGCAAGTTTGGTTCCTTCCCCCACCCTCCAAGCAATATACTATAAGTTTTGGAGTCAGGCACAAACCTCTCCCTCATCGTCTCGAATATCTCCTGAGCTTTCCTCACATTCCTAGACTTACACAAAGCACTCAACAACCCATTAAAAGCAACAAGATTCTGCTCCAAATCATACTTCTCCATCACATTAAAAGCATAAACCGCCTCATCAACCTTCTGCGCCCTCGCGTACTTCCTCATCACTATACAAAACGTCTCCACGTTTAACATCTTCTTCTTCCTCATTGAGTTGATGAGATCCCACATGAGCTTGTACTGCTTTATCTTGGCAGTGGACTCTATCATCATGTGGTAGGCACGGACGCTGTGCTCATAGTGACGTTGCTTTTCAGACCATTGGAAGAATCTGTATGCTAATAAACCAGCGTTCCTGAATCGGTTTAGGATGTCTTCTGCTACTTCTGGTGTAACCCTTAAGCCGCTTTGGTCTAATGCTGATTCAAGAACCTGTTGGGGAGAAGACATCATTACTTTGGATATTTTCTTGGTTACTTCTGCTACTTCAGTNGCTCATAGTGACGTTGCTTTTCAGACCATTGGAAGAATCTGTATGCTAATAAACCAGCGTTCCTGAATCGGTTTAGGATGTCTTCTGCTACTTCTGGTGTAACCCTTAAGCCGCTTTGGTCTAATGCTGATTCAAGAACCTGTTGGGGAGAAGACATCATTACTTTGGATATTTTCTTGGTTACTTCTGCTACTTCAGTGACTTGTCCACTTGAACTGTAAAGCTTTGCGGATATGAATCTTGAGCGATGGTTGAAAAATCTTATCGCCATGTTGAGTATAAACCCAACACAAGTCAGCAAAGCTGTATTTTCATAGAAAAAAAAAGTGAAGTAAATCTCACTGCGGCATTTCGTCGAACTCTTAATGAACATAAATTAAAAAAAAATTAATATACAGACAAAACATACATATATATAATCATATATGAATCAGACAAACTTAGGTTTTACCTTTACGGAACAGTGGTTTTGTCTTCAGGAAAAAGTGGTGGTTTTGCTCGCCGGCGGCGACACAAAGCGTCGAGTGACGAAAGGGACAGAGGATACGCTCCGTTTCAATAGTGAGATGAGTTGGGCCAGATGTAAAAGCCCATGAGGAATGAAAAAGAAAGCCCATAAAGCCTATTGATTTAAGCTCTTCAGATTTTGCCGTGGGCTTGGTCGTGGTAATACAGGCGAGATGTTTGCAAGCAATACAAACTTGTGTGCTATTTCAAAAGATACCAATAATTAAGCTACATTTCTTGATTCCATGGTGGTCATTTTGAAGTTAGGCTTGACCTTTATGTGACAAATGACTCATCAAGTCATCATCATCATGCCTTTGTACAGTTTCTAAGACTAAAAATCTGTTGCAGACAAGACAAAAATTATAAGTGGTTATCACTTTTGCATTCCATGTAGGGAAAAAAGGGTCATTGATCATTTCAAAGTTTGAATTTGTGTTTTGGTTTTCATTTTTTTCATTGCATGTCTAGATCATGAAACACCGCGTGCTGTAACTCTAATTTTAGAGCACTTGAATACTTGAAATCTTTGTAGCTCTTTAATTCTGTCGACCTATCAAATATTATATCATAAAGTCATTGTGTGTATAACAAAACTGAATAAAATAATGCAGTTTTCAGATGTGTTTAGCTAAAATTAAATACTTTGTGGTAGACTCTTCATTATATAGCTTTCAGGTCTCTATAGTCTAGAAAGATGCAATTTTTTCAAGATAGATTCTAATAACTAGAGTTTGAATATTATTATATATGGTGACCTTTGAAAAAAATATAAAATAAAATTATACTCCCTCCGTTCCTTAAAGATACATATTCTAGGAAAAAAATTTGTTTCTAAAAGATCCATTTTTTACATTTTCAAGGTATGTTTTATTAAATAATTGTAAATTTCAAAAAACTTAATTGCACTATTTGATTTTTGATTGGTTTAAAATTATAGAAAGAAGATAAATACAAAAAACTATGCAAATTTATTGTGTTTNTCCTTAAAGATACATATTCTAGGAAAAAAATTTGTTTCTAAAAGATCCATTTTTTACATTTTCAAGGTATGTTTTATTAAATAATTGTAAATTTCAAAAAACTTAATTGCACTATTTGATTTTTGATTGGTTTAAAATTATAGAAAGAAGATAAATACAAAAAACTATGCAAATTTATTGTGTTTTATTAAAAAGTGTGAAAAAGCTAGAAAATGGATCTTTTAGGAACAGAGGGAGTATATGGTGACCTCTGTATAATTGAAAAGTTAGTGTTAATGGTGGGGACACAACTGAAACAAGTCAAATCACGTAGATGAACTTCTCTAATCTTTCCCGCCACCAACTTCTATCTTCCACTAATCTCGCCTCTCATCTCTCTCTCTCTCCTATCTCCTGTTTTGTCCTAAATATAAACTCAATTCTTAATCCAAAACTTAAACTCACATCTCTCTTCTCCTAAGCAAAAAAAAAAATGGCGATTATTGTCATTGATGATTCTTTCAAGAGACCAGGAACTGTACCTTTCAGCTGGGAGATCCGACCCGGTGTACCCAAAACCCGACCCGAAAACACACCACCTCTTCTCCAACCTCCCAAGAAACTCTCTCCTCTCCGTCTAAAACCTTTATCTCACTCTCAACCACTTCTCCCACCAGCTCTCTCTCCTCCTTCGTCTTCTTTCATCTCCACTTCCAAGAGCCGTTCTCAATCTCCTCTCACTCCTTCCTTCTCCACTCCCTCAAAGCTCAAACCTCCACCACCGTCACACTCCGGTTTCTACTCTCCAGGACCTTCTTTCCGTTCCTCCCCGCGTGCTTTCTCGGAGCGGTGGCAGTTAAACCGTCCTAACCGGGTCAGACCCGGATCCGAGTCCGAGTCTAGAGATGTTTTAGCTTTTGCCGGACTCGGGTGTTTCCCGACGCCTAAGTTCAGGTTGAGAAAGAACAAGACGGGTTCGAAGTTGGAGCGTGGTTACTGTTCGGATATGGAGACGATGTCTCCGTGGACTGTTTCTAGCCGGAGGTCAGTTTCTACGAGATGGGACTCGCCGAAGTCTTCGTTCTCGTCGCTCCGGTTCTCGCCGCGACTCGCTAACGAAGCTGAATGGGCCGGGTTTGGGCTTTTTTGAAGAATTTTTAATTGAATGGGTCGAGATTTGGTTTCTTTAGCCATCCGATTCCGAAACAAGAGAAGCCTTAATCAAATGTGGACTAGAATGTAATATTCTAAAATTTAGTGTCCTAAAATCGTATCAATAGAGTTTTTACCTTATTTATTATATGTTGGATTGTGGGTGTCTAAAGACAAATCCAAAACTTTGGAGTTTTGAGTGAGGGAAGAAAGAATGTAAGGAGTGAAAGTGAAAAAAAATTTCTATATACTACCTCTATTTCAACATAATCCATGTTTTAGAGTTTTCATATATATTAAAAAACATGTTAATAAATGTAGTTTTTTTGTGATTAGCTATTTTCATAATTTTATCCAATCAGAATTCAGTAAACATAATTAATATAATAAAAGTTTACAATTTACTTTTATTATATGCAATAAAAATGTGAAATATATATATTTTAGAAACAATTTTTTTTAAAAAAATATGGATTATATCGAAGTAAAGAGGAGTAAAAGGTATTTGAAAAAGGAAGATAATGTAATTCTATTTAAGTGAAGGGTGGAATTGTAATTGACAAAACGTTTATGTATTTGAACTGGTAACGAAATTCGAAGTTAGGACAGAAGAACACCATGAAACTGTCCAAACCGTTAACCAACCGCATTATAGATCAGCTCGCCGCCGCCATGATCCAGAACCGGCCATTCGACGCCGTACTCGCCTCTTCAACACTCACGAATCCATGGAATCATCAGCTCGTCTCCGATATCCTCCGCTCTATCCCCAGATTCTTCTTCATTTCCCCACGTTCCATCGGTAGCCAAAAAGGTTTTCGTCACCGGTCACCGTTAAAACAAAGAAACCTCCGTGACGAATCAGTAAGACGCCGTCTCGAAGTCCTGGTTCTAGGTCCCGGCGCGTATATAGATCCTAAGAAAGTATCTCTCGGTTTACAGAAAGCAACGGAGTTCTTCTTTTGGATCGAGACACACTTCGGTTTCGAACATAATGAGATCACTTGCAGAGACATGGCGTGTTTGTTCGCCAAAGGAAACGACTTTAAAGGTCTCTGGGAGTTTCTACGCCAAGTCTCGAGACGGGAGAAGGGAGGGAATGTGGTGACGACATCGTCTATAACCTGTTTGATGAAATGCCTAGGAGAAGAAGGTTTTGTGAAAGAGGCGTTAGCTATGTTTTATAGGATGAAAGAGTATCATTGCAAACCTGATGTTTATGCTTACAATACAATCATCAACGCTCTTTGCAGAGTAGGGAACTTTAAAAAGGCTCGGTTTCTGTTGGATCAGATGCAGTTACCGGGGTTTCGATACCCGCCGGATGCGTATACTTACACTATTTTGATAAGTGCGTACTGTAGATATGGGATGCAAACGGGATGCAGGAAGGCGATAAGGAGGAGAATGTGGGAAGCTAACAGAATGTTTCGTGAAATGCTCTTTAGAGGGTTTGCTCCTGATGTGGTTACTTACAACTGCTTGATCGATGGATGCTGTAAAACGAACAGGATTGGTCGGGCTTTGGAGTTGTTTGAAGATATGAAGAAGAGAGAGTGTGTCCCCAACCAGGTGACGTATAATTCTTTCATAAGGTATTACAGTGTGACTAATGAGATAGAACGTGGGATTGAGATGATGAGGACGATGGAGAAGATGGGACACGGTGTAGCTGGCTCAAGTACGTACACGCCGTTGATACACGCTCTTGTTGAGACCGGGAGAGTGGCTGAGGCTCGGGATTTGGTGGTGGAGATGGTGGAGGCCGGGTTGGTTCCGAGGGAGTATACATATAAGTTGGTGTTGGATGCTTTGAGTTCAGAAGGAATGGTGGGTACACTTGATGAAGAGGTGCGTAAGAGAATGAGAGAAGGAATAGACCAGAGATGTAGAAGAGTGATGAAGATCAAACCCGTCATGGCTCGTAAAGAGGTGGTATTTTCACAAGATCCATGACAAATGATACTATTTTGTATTGTTACTATTGTAATACTTCATGAATACTTTTATTACTTGTTCATGATGAGAAAGGTAAGAGAAAGCAATACTAGAGAGTTGGGATCTCATGAGCATTGAGCATGAACAAGAAGGGATTTAATAGTGTGTGAACAGGGATCACCACCAAATGTTTTGCTCCATACTGGTACAGAACACCTACTCTTTTTCAGACAAGCCTGCAAAAATTCACTAGCAATTATTATTTGGGTATTTGCGGTTTCAGCAACGAGGAATAGTTTTACAGGGACCAATAGTAACTTACCTTCTGTACAACAGCTAAAGAGTTTGGTGAGTGACAGCTTCCAAGAAAATGCCTCCAACAGTTTCCTTTTGGGGAACCAAAGCTTGCAAATAACACCTTTGAGATTTTCTTGCCGTAAGGACACTGGAGCTGAACCTTAGGCCTCTTGTCATACCGGTACTTTAGATGTGGGTGCTCAGTTCGGTTGTGGCTTCTTCTTCTCGAAGAGACCACAGGAGGAGGATGTGAACTGGAGACGTGACCACATACTTCAGTGATTGACACTGTGTCTATAGTTATACCAAGAGGGTTCCCTTCTTTTTCTTCTTCCAAAATGACTAGTAGGTTATTGTTGGGATTAAGAAACGATCTCGGTACATGGTACCTAAACATAGGAGAACATAGGTTCAGAAAATTACCGAGATTATGCAAATAGATGAGTCAGCAATACCATACCATATCTGAGAAGGGGTCCCCTTGGTAGTATGAAATGAAACCCAGTACCGACCAATACTCTGGCCATTCACCCAAGCTTCCCCTTTTCCCATTGTTCCCAAGTTCAAAGCCACAGGATCATTCCCCTTCGGTGTGTCAAATGATGCCTATAGATATAATAATCCCTTAGAGACTGAAGTTTGAGTAATATATTGAACTAGCACTGATTTGTTTTTCCAGTACCTTGTACCAAGTTAGAGGCTGGCTTTTGGAGTCTGTGTACTGTTTCCACTGAACTGTAGCCGACCCATGATCTGTGTAAACATTTACTTGCTCTCCGTGCAGCCCAACCTCCGCAACGGTTTTGAGCCAGTGTCAGTTAAGATGAAGGAAAAAAGTAATGATGAAGAATCTCACAGAAGTTTTACCTGATATCCCCAGGAATATTTGTTGAAGTACAGTGATTGTTTACCATTCCAGATCTTTACACTCCGCGATCCACCAACTCTCCTTTCTAGATGTGCTCCTGAATTCTGTGATCTCAAGAGCAACAACTTCAGAAAAAATGTACTCAAGATGGTTTTTGATACTTGCTAAAGATACTCATAATAAGTACTCTGTTTGGAGAAAATACTCTTCTTAAGAAAAGATTGGGACTCACCGGTAATCCTACCATTACGCTGAGTAATGCGATGTTATTTGTGCCATTAATCAATGACATATTTTTCTCCAGCAAAAATCTCTGCGCTTTGAAAGCTCCGTGCATAGAACCTAAAATGAACTCAAATATAGACGCGTTTAAATAAAATAGCAATGAAGATTGCTATAGAAAAAACCTTTACACTTGAGTAGGATTCAGAGATACAAAGCATACCTATGAATCTCCCATTAGCAAATGCGTGTAGAACATGTCCAATGTGGTTGACTTTAAGAATTGATTCAGCTGGTTCAGGTTGTTGAAACCTGTATTTCAAAAGAAACATATTAACGTATAAGTCCAAACAGCCTAGCATAAACTAGTTATAATGATGTATAACTTAGACAGATAAAATAGGATTTACCTAAATATTTGCCAAAGATAGTCAGAAGTATCTTGTGTTGTATTCATGTGTTCAAGCAAGTATCCTGATCTTATTGTCGTCTCACTGAAAGTCGGGATAGTTTCTGTGTATTCCTCCCACATGTGGGGAGAAGACAGTTTTTGTCTTGGTTCCCTTGTCCTTGTGGTGTATTGCGCATTAACCTATCCACATCAGAAAATATGAATGAATGCATCAAAAGAAAGCTGCATGAAACTATATTCTTGATGTTTGAGCTTACCTTGGCAGTGTTGAAGTCGACATTCTTGCAGTCTGGCAGGACACTAATAGATTTTGGAGACAGAGTGTATGAAGAGTTGAGAAAATGCACAGTGGAATGGATTGTGTCTTGGTTCATAAGAAAGGCAGCGCATAGCTCCGCATTATTCCCAAACACAAAAGCCTGTTAAATAAGACAAACAACACTGCTACAGCATTCTTCATGATATCAAACAGGTGAAGATACTGTTGGAGTTTTCTTACAGTTTGTAGCTTCCCCAAAGATGTTGTGGTACGCAGTCCAGAAAGTAGAGGCTTTTCACACAACTTAACTGCAGCATGTAATTCCCTAAGGTGTCCCCATTTTGGTTGCCGAGGTAACCCTGTTAGCAACAACCCTCTCTGTTATAATTTCAGATCAAAGTCTAATATTGGCGGTTTAAAATATTACCATATTCATCAAGTGGAGCCTGATCGTAATAACTGGTGATTACGAATTGCGAAGCATTTCTTCCGAAGTTTGTTCCTCCATGATACTAGAATAAGATAGTGTATCAGTATTATACCATTCATTTCCGCAAAATAAAGAAACAGAGAGTGAGACTCAAAAACTACCATGTAGTAGTTTACGAAACTTCCATTCTTAACGATGAATAGAGCAACCTGAAATGCTATATCCTCAGCTGACCTTTTCAATGGTTCCTCACCAAATGTTTGATAACTATACAAAGGGAGCAGCTCAAAGTCAATATTTATCTGAGAACTAGGACGTAAGCAATGTAGTGAATTTGAGCTTGTGACATACAAACTCGTCCAGTTCTCGGTCCATACTGCAGGTTTGTTTGGTGAATTAGGTCCTTTAAATGTTTCTCCACATTGCCTCCCATTGCAAGCATTAATCTGATGCATCATAGAGACGTAAGATAGTAGAAATAAAGGATTGGAAACGGAAGATGCACATAGACGGATAAACACATAAACCAACCACAGGATCAGGGGCATCATCTTGCTTGCACATGACCCATGGCACTCCTGTATCAAGTTCCACAGCCATTTTTGCTGCCCATTTGACATATGCTTTCCCTTCTTTCTTAAAAGCTCTAGCTACCATTCCATATTCGTTTTCAATCTGTTTTCCACCCAGAACTTTAATATCAGTAACGACTTACTTCAAAGGAAACATACATGAAACCACAAAAAACGTAAAACCTGTGAGAGTATGATAGGCCCTCCTTGAGAAGCAAACAAGTTCTCCGACTTCATCAGCTTAACAATCATCTGTGCATATCTCTTCATGTGATACTGCAAACAAACAAACAAAACGTATCTTCTTCATAAACCATATATATAAAAGCATAAAAGCCAATTGAATCCACTAAAGTATTACCTTGAATGGCTCATTATCAGTTCTAAAGACAATCCCTGGAACATTATGCAACCAGAAAGGCAAACCCCTGCAACCATAAGATTTTTTACCTTTTTACCACATTGAATCATCTTTACCAACCAAAACCTAATGGCGCAAAAAAGCTTACCCGTATGACCATTCACCTTGGATGAATGGTCCAATCCGAAGACAGACATACAATCCATGCGCTTGTATTACCCTGATGAACCTCACGATATCACGTCGTCCAGTGAAATCAAACTGCAGAATCGCAAATTACATCAATCGCTTTACACTTATAAGCTCAATCAACATTCAATCTAGATACAGAGACGGACTCACTCACCTTGCCTTGTTGCGGCTCGTGAATGTTCCAGAACACATACGTGTCGATTACATCTATTCCTCCAGATTTTGCCTTCCCTATCAAATGCGGCCACATCTGCGAGTTCGACTTCCATTAATATATGTAGAAGAAGAAGATGAGATCCCGCCAAATCGTAGAGGTTCTTATCAAAACATTTAGAGTTAATTAACAATATAACAGAAACTAAGAGGACTTAGTCTCGAAAATTCCACAAGTTCAAAACGGCCAAGTCGAGATAAATTAGCGAAAAGACGATTATATCCTCCTCTTCATCTCTAACGGCTTCATCATCATGTATTTCGTTTCCGCAACCTGCCGCGAACCGTGTGCTAATTCACGTGACTCAATCGTCACTATCTCGCCGGAATATTCCGAAATCAAAGCTCCGATGACGTCACTAAATTTAATAGAAAGTACGCGAAGAAGAAGAAGAAGAAGAGGAAGTAACCTGAGGAGTGCTGCGAGGATAATGGATAGAGCCGGAGAAAAGGATCTTATGTTGTCCGTCGATGATCAACGATCTCCCGTCGTAAGTAACGTTTCCTCCGTCTCCTGCTCCGATGATCGCCACGAGAATGAACAAAGCTAACGAAGACTTAAACGAATCCATCATCTCTTGAAAACAGTACTCGAAGAAGAATAGAGTCGTCACTGAGATCTGAGAAGTTTAGAAGGTTCTTATAGTTGTGACTCTTGTGAGCGGAACTGTGCATGTATCTCACATTCGTCGATTCGAATTTTGCTTTTTTAATTTTCTCCAAAAAAGGCGGTTTTATACGAAAATTCCAGTTAGTTAACCGGTTTTTCTCTGTTAAAGAAGTAACCGTCAAATTAAATTCAAGGAATTTAATAAACCGGATTTCTTTATCAAAGCCCAATATTAGAGTGGCCTGGCCCATAAACAGGCTGTAAAAATATTGTAATGGAGGCAAAACCGGTTTATATACTAAATCATTTGGGTCGCCAGTCAAACCGGATGGACGGACGCGTTTATATTAAAAAAAAAACAAAGTCAACGTCAACTCACAGTGTGAAACCATGTGTTGCACGTGCGAAATTTCCCGCACAAAATATACTACTCTTTTTGTCTTCTTCTTCCTCCATCTGATTTACAAATATCGAATCCGTGAATTGAATCTCTGACGGTATCCATGGATCGTGCTCTTACTTCCCGTTTTGAAATTCCCTCTACTATCTCTCCGTTACATAGGAGGAGGACTTCTGTAGCCATTACTCGACGATTTACGCCGGCGATTGTTTCCGCGAAACGATCTCCGATCGATGGAGTGAGTGAAGAGTTGAACCTAATCGCCTCGGAGGAGTTAGATCAAGCTCCCGCGAGAAGACGCGTACGTTCCGCTTTCGCTGATTTGCAGCTTCAGCTCGATCACTGCTTGTTCAAGGTTTTCATCAACACTCTTTACTTTTTAGTAGCGAAATTTTAAAGTTCTTCGTTTCTAATGATCTGTATCTGTTGTGACAGAAAGCTCCGGGTGGGATCAGAACAGAGGAGGTAAACTGTGATTTGAATTTTGAACGTTGTTCTTATGTGAAAGACTCTAAAGTAGTTGTTGAATCTTCTTCTTCTTCTTGTGTGGATATGATTAGTGGTATGAGAGAAATTCTAAAGGGGAGGAGATTTTCTGCAAGTGTTGGTTGCCGGAGGCCGGAGTTGAAATCAAAGCGGCGGTGTGTTTCTGTCATGGCTATGGCAGTACTTGCACTTTCTTATTTGATGGTTAGTTAATTGCTGTATTCGGATTAGTTAATTTTAGTATTCTTATTTGGATTTTTCTATTTTCTACTCAATATTTTATTTTATTTTGGATCCGATTCGATTCGGTTCTTTTCGGTTTTTGTTTATATTTGATTTTACTTTATATATGAAATCACCTAAAATACAATTTTATTTGAAAAAAAAAGAAAAATCAAACAAAATATCCAAATGCATATAAATTATTCGAAAATTTGATAAAATTACCTTGTTTTTTATGTCTCATTTAGATATTTCTCTAAAACCTGGATTCAGGGATTTTGAGTCAGTTATAAAGGTTCTGCCTAGTTACATGTTTTATGATTGCATCATCATAAGTTAAAACTCTTCTTGTTATTGTACATGTGAAAACTCTTGTTTTTTTTTTCCTTTACAGGCATAGCAAAACAAATAGCAGGTTCTGGATATGGAGTATATGCTATAGACCATCCTGGTTTTGGACTCTCAGATGGTTTACATGGTCACATCCCAAGTTTTGATGCTTTAGCTGATAATGCTATTGAACAGTTCACCAAAATGAAAGGTAACCAAACTTTTGTCTGTTTCTTAAATCTTCTTTTGGAATGTTTTTTCTTAAGTGGTAGTAATATGATTATTAGGGAGACCTGAGTTGAGAAATGTGCCTCGGTTCTTGTTCGGACAGTCAATGGGAGGAGCTATTGCCTTGAAAGTTCATCTGAAAGAACCTCAAGCTTGGGATGGTCTTATACTTGTGGCTCCAATGTGTAAGATCTCAGAAGATGTAAAGCCTCCTAAGCTAGTATTGAATGCGTTGATCTTGATGTCAACACTGTTTCCAAAAGCAAAGCTCTTCCCAAAGAAAGACATGAGCGAGCTCTTCTTCAGAGACCCAAGTAAAAGAAAACTTGTAAGTCTTTTCAACATACATACTTTACGTTCTGATGAAGCATTTTAGCTGATGTTTTTTTGTTGTTGTATTTGGATGATCAAGTCTGACTATGATGTGATATGCTACGATGACCAAACGCGTCTGAAAACTGCTGTTGAGCTACTAAATGCGACAAGAGACATTGAGATGCAAGTTGATAAGGTGTCATTGCCGTTGTTGATACTACATGGAGCTGCAGATAGAGTCACAGACCCTAATGTGAGCAAGTTCCTTTACGAGCAAGCAATCAGCGAAGACAAAACTCTTAAACTATATCCTGGTGGCTACCATTGCATTCTAGAAGGTGACACTGATGAAAATATTTTCACAGTAATCAACGACATTGTTGCTTGGCTCGATGCACGCTCTACTCCCAAGTAAAGTGAGAGTGTATCGTCTGACTCCTATATTTATTTTTTGGCTTCTGAAACTCTCTGCCATTGATTACATAAGGAAAATAAAACAAGTAGTCTTGTCTTACAAAAGTACAACCTTGTCCTTTGCTTGCTTAGCCAGTGCCCCTAAGGATCTGTGCATATGGTAGTAGCTTTTTTAAGGAACTGAGGTGCAAGTCAACACTTCAAACACTACATTATTAAGCATCAATGATACATTCCATAGGGAAGAAGAAGCACAAAGATAGACGGTCAGAAGTAGTGTTCTCTTTGTGCCTCTATTAAGGATTTTTCAATGATTTTTAAGGAAAAATAATAATAAAATTGAAATACTATAAGATCCACTATTATTATTAAACAGGTTTGCAGTTAGAAATTTTTTAAATGGTTGAATTTGAGCGAGAAGGTCAAGCTGAATCAATCACAATCTCTTTAACGCAAGGGGTGATGGTGACTGTGCATATGATACAGATACAAATGGATCCGACTGGGCCAGACACAAATCCCGTGTAATGCCAAATCAGATGACTTGATAATGGCAGCTTCGTGACTGTAGGGTCCACACACTCCATACTACCTTTTTTATTTAATTTCCTAAGAGGGTGTTATTAGTTTATATATTTTAATGGATTTGAAAATGTAAGTTAAATCTAGTGTTATTGGTTCTGTAATTTTAAAATTCGTATTCAAATTTATTGTTATTGGTTTTATGATTTTAAAATTCATATTTAAATTCATTGTTATTGGTTTTGTGATTTCAAAATAGATTTTAAAATCAGGTGTTATTCAATAATAATGATTTGTATAAGGATTTGATTAAAACTTGGATTTGAATGGATTTGGGAGTGATTTTAAGTTAAAAATACAAAGGAACAAATATTGAGTTGAACCTTATTATTTTGATACATCTATATTATTGGTTTTTCAATATTTCTTTGGCACCAATTTTCGTATGTGTATTGCATACGTTAATTATGAAAAGCACTAACAAGACTTTTGTTAAACGTTAGTCTTGAAACAAATTCCATTAGAAAAACATCAAGCACTCACACTTTCGAAATTTTTCTACTTTTTTTTCTAATTTCCAATTGTCCAATTTCTACATTTTCAAACTAAAATAATAATTTTTTTTATTTTCTATTGTAATGGTCCATCATAATGTATATATAATCTCTATTATACATTAAAAAATTAACACAAAAAACAAAAACTTGAAACCCATAAAAATGTCAATGGGAGAATCACAACAAGAATAAGAAAAACACATCTTGTAGTTTTTATATTTAAACCCAACTTATTGCAAATCCATTGGATTGATTTATGATAATCCAATTATTTTGATTTTGAAATCAATGTATTGATTCTGAAATCTACTTTATTTGATTTTAAAATCAATGAATTTAACAAAAATTCTAAATCCAAGAAAGAATCCTNTTGTAGTTTTTATATTTAAACCCAACTTATTGCAAATCCATTGGATTGATTTATGATAATCCAATTATTTTGATTTTGAAATCAATGTATTGATTCTGAAATCTACTTTATTTGATTTTAAAATCAATGAATTTAACAAAAATTCTAAATCCAAGAAAGAATCCTAAATTCATTAAATACTACAACTAATAACCCCTACGAAATTTTTCTACTTTTTTTTTAATTTCCAACTAGCTTTTGATCCGCGCGTCCGCGCGAGTGTTTGTTCTTCGTAATCATATTTTAATTTTGAAATTCTGATCAATTTAAAATTTTATACTCATTATGTTATAGATTCATAGATTGATCAGTTTTGACATTGGTTTGTCTTGTGAATGTTATTAGCTTTCCTTTATAATTCCTTTATAAAGTATGAGATTGTGTTTTTGTTTTATTGTTCTTTCATATAGTTTACTACATAAATTAAACTATAAAGTATCAAAGGCTTAAGTATATTAGTTGATATATGTTCAATGAAATAATATGATTTTATAGGATTTCCTAAGCTAATATGGCATTTTAAGGAGAAAATTAATAAACAATAACAAATATTTCTAATTGCAAAAATATAAACCATAAAATATGATATGCTGTTTGCGTAGAATTAAGAAAAAGGTGATATGTTGATTTGTTTTTTGAATTATCGTAAATATAAGAGTAGTTTTTGGAATATTTTTTAATTGTGGAAGGAAAGAAGTAAAATTATGTCGCTAATACGTCATTTTAAGGAGCAAATTGATAAACAATAAAAAATTATTGCTCATTGCAAACAAAAATCTAAACCACAAAACCATACCTTCATAAAATTAATATACAAAAAGTTGGTATGTATAGTCATAAAGAATATAGTTCTTTGTTTATAACATATAAAGGTCATGAAACGTGGACCATTAGTAATAGAAAATGTGAATATAGGAGTATAGTCCAGTATCTAGTGAATTTATTAGATCTGTTAGGTTTGGTTAAATCTCTTCTACTTAGTTTTTAAAGAGGACGTAATTAATTAGATCTGTCGGTTTGGTTGATTACATAACATGTAACAGTTATTTGGGCTAAGAATATAGTGAAAGCCCAAAAAAACAATTGCTGGGTTAGAGTTAATTAATTGAAACGACAGAATTATAATGGCAGTGGCATGAAACTGTAATTTTTGTGCAACTATAAGGGGTAAGTACTATTTGTACTTCAGTCTTAATAGATTAGATTGTCCAATTTCTACATTTTCAAACTAAAATAATAGTTTTTTTTTATTTTCTATTGTAATGGTCCATCATAATGTATATATAATCTCTATTATACATTAAAAAATTAACACAAAAAACAAAAACTTGAAACCCATAAAAATGTCAACGGGAGAATCACAACAAGAATAAGAAAAACACATCTTGTAGTTTTTATATTTAAACCCAACTTATTGCAAATCCATTGGATTGATTTATGATAATCCAATTATTTTGATTTTGAAATCAATGTATTGATTCTGAAATCTACTTTATTTGATTTTAAAATCAATGAATTTAACAAAAATTCTAAATCCAAGAAAGAATCCTNTTGTAGTTTTTATATTTAAACCCAACTTATTGCAAATCCATTGGATTGATTTATGATAATCCAATTATTTTGATTTTGAAATCAATGTATTGATTCTGAAATCTACTTTATTTGATTTTAAAATCAATGAATTTAACAAAAATTCTAAATCCAAGAAAGAATCCTAAATTCATTAAATACTACAACTAATAACCCCTACTAAATCCTTCAAAATTGGAAATGAAATGCTACAAACCGGATTACATTCATATTATCTATTATATAAAACGAGATCAAAGTGGTTACAAACCAGATTACATTCCTATTATCTATTGTATAAAACGAGATCAGATTGGGTACAAACGAGATTATTTCATTCGAGATCACATGGGGAAGTGCAGATACTAGGCAAAGGCGAGGTGGTTCTCACGGTTTGGGCATCCACCACGACGATAGGTGCGACGGCGAAGTTGTACGGTATAGTCACCGATGTGTTCCACAACTCCTGTTGCTTCACGAACGTTGAAGCGGACCGATCTAGGACCATTATCGCCACGGTTATTAACAATTCTAGCATTGGCATTATCGGGAGTTTGGATCCACGGAATTTTTGAGAGGAGTTTCTTAGTTATAAAAATAAAAATCTAAATTTCAGTTTTTGGATAAGATTTTAGAGTGATTTAATAAAAATCAGACCAAATTCTCTAAATCAACTACAATTATCTAAAACTTTTTAGAATCAAATCATTTCAAAGTTTAGATTAAATACATCTCCTAAGTTTCGTGTATGATATCTTAAAAAATTTCTAACACTGGTTTTAGAACTAATAGTAATTTCATTAGTACATTTATCATTTTTTGATTGAATGATACTTTTAAACTATTAAATATATTTTTTATTTGTAACAGTATCTATTCTAGGATTATAAGTACAAGTACTGTACAAAGTGAGGTGGAGCCAAATTTCCATTTCCCCTGAACTAACATAGACCAATTATAGCAACCATCGGTGGGCTGAAAATTATGATTGTGTTGTAATGTATCACACCTAACTCTGCTAGATAGTGCATCATATTCTCCATGTACAAGACATAAACAAGAACCAGTTGACTGATAAAGAAAATAAATTGATAAAACATTGTATGCACTTTTAATTGTTTACATTAATTACTACAGATCATTAGGTATAATATTATTTAAATGGTTTGGAAACTGATATTATTTGACTCTAGAATTATCTTTTTTAATTTGATTAAAAGAATTAAACTTTAAATATCATCAACCGATCAAATTATAGATATAAAGAACATGTAATCAAAAGTCATTTAAATGTCTTCTATCTTATTATATAAAGTTTGGTTCTTCAAATTTATTAATTAACATGATCGCAACACATGGCAAGTATATATTTAAGATTGTGACATGTGTTAATATATCTCATAATTAAAAAAAAATATATGACAAGATATTAACAAAAACGAATCTTATTAAAAAGAAATTATATTACCGTTATTCAAATGTATCATTACAAAAAGTAGTATTTACACTCTTCAACATTCTCTCCTTACAATGATCGATTTAAGAATTTAGGTAGGGAGAAAATTATTTACACTCTTCAACATTCTCTCTTTACAATGATCGATTTAAGAATTTAGGTAGGGAGAAGATGATTCAGACAAGAAGAATAATAACTATTGATGTTTATTCAAATTAACAAGATCGTAAGTGGTCTAGTGGTTCGGGTTTATAACGAGTGTAGCTTCGGTCACAAGTTAGATTCCTATGAAATACAATTTAAAAAAAAAAAATGCAATACAACATAGTTTCAGGGATTCAACGGAAATTAGAAACGGTGATCACAATCCGTTAGCCGTAGCTAACGTCGAATGGTTTAGTCAAATTAAGTTGAAGTCTAAAATGGCTATTCAAGATAAGATAGTGCTTTAAATATGTTAGAGAAAATTCATGTTTTTTTTTTCAATCAAATTTGAAAGTTAGAGGATTTAAAATGACAATTTTTCACATTGAAGCTTAATAATAATTAGTGAAGATAAATCTGAAAGCCCAGTAATAATAAAGCCCATTTAACACTGATAAAAGTTATTTAACGAGGCCCGCAAATAAGCAAACTACAGTATGTACATAGTAGATTCTCGTCGACGTTAGAAAAGCTTGCGATGTCTGTAAGTGTACCCTCGCGATTCCTAAGCTCTTAATATGCTTTGAGCAATGATTTGATAGTGAAATTGGGCGATACAACGATGTATTGATTTGGTAATAATACTGATCTTCGAGTACAACGGAAGTGCTGTGGTGGCTATGGTATCAGCGACTGGTGTTTCGTCATGAGTTGTATCAGCTTCGTGAGGAGAGGGACATGAAGCCTGAGACCTTTGCTAGTCTTGTATCCGCCCTTCTTTATGACAAAAGGTAGCTTGATGTGTGCTCCTTTTGTGTAGCTATGTAGAATCTTGATACTCTAATGACTGATACTAAACTAGCTTCGTCTATTTTAGGTTTGGTCCATACTTGTGCCAACCTGTGATCGTTGGATTGGGAGATGATAACAAACCTTTCATTTGCACAATGGATTCGATTGGAGCCAAGTATTAAGCTCTTATCCTCAATACGTTATCTCTTCGTATACTTCATATGTATTATCATTTAGCGTCGTTACTCGTTAGTAAGTGAGTATAGTCCTGAGTCTTCCTAGGTGAATGGCCAAATGGGTCATCAGTATTAATAGTTTTGGTCATGGATTGTACGCATAGGTTTAATATATTATTTTGCTTTTGCTCTCATCCTATCTTTCTGAGTAAAACGTTATACTCTTGTTAGTTTTAATATGTAGTGTCATTTGGTGTCGATAGTTAGTGAGTATAGTACATAATCTTGCTAGTTGGAAAATTCTTTTGGTCGTTTCTCATCCATAACAGCGTATATCCATATAAGTGGACTATGTTTATGTGTTTTAATGTAATATCTTGGTTTTGCTATTTCTATTTGAGGTCTTAATAGAGTTGGGATTTTATTGAAATTGTTAATGTGATGGATTGGTGGACTTGGTTTGACACTTGTTCTCTCTTTTACTGTAGGGAGTTGGCTAAAGATTTTGTTGTCTCTGGAACTGCTTCAGAATCACTCTATGGTGCCTGTGAAGCCATGTACAAACCAGATATGGTATATTCCTTGGAATAGTTTCTTCTTTTGTTATTCTTACCGGATCATTGAACACCTAAATGCTTGTTGCTAGCTAAGATCCCCGGGAAAAATCCTTGAGATATATATGAATTCAGTTGTCGAATCTAGTTTTGCTGGGAATGGTTTTGTGCAGTTATATGCTGGTCATAGACGACATAATATCTTCATTAGGGTTAGGAATGAGGTGTTTCAAAGTGCAGGCTTGTTAATTTTATCTCGATCCCTACTATAACTTTGTGAAAATGAAGTTTTAAAATTCAAAAGGCATCGTTATAAGAAGTGCAACGTGCATTGTAACACATCTAATAAAGAGCTATATGTAGCTTTAGTTTGGCTGATCCTTGGTTTAACAAATGGGGTTTTTCAGGAAGCTGAGGAATTGTTTGAGACAATTTCACAAGCACTTCTGTTTTCAGTTGACCGCCATTGTCTGAGTGGATGGGGAGGACATGTCTAGTTGTGTAAGTTCCATCGTCTTCACATCTTGCCTCTGATAGAACAACGCTTCTTATACAATTGTATTATTATTTAAGATAGTAACATACTCTCATGATGATGGTTTATCCACAGGACACCAAATGAAATCAAGGAGAGAATCCTCAAGGGAAGGATGGACTGATCTTAAATTACATATCTGCTTTTGTCCAAGTTTACCGGTTTAATCTTGGGTTAGTAGAAGAAAACCCCTCTCGGTCCCATAATATCTGTTACTTCTCTGAACCAAATGTTGTCGGTAAATCACTTAGCACGTGTTGTTTTTCTCCAATATACACTCGGCCGTTTTAAACTTATATGTTCCACTCCACCACCTTCTTGTTTCTGGTTCGGTTTCGTACCAACTGTTGTCTTTAGTTTCGTTGTTAATAATGATAATAATCGTGAGGGGTGATGATATGTCACATCGTGAAGATCTTGCGTGTCCTGTTCTAATCGTATATGCTTGGTTCGGTCCATGGCATTACAGTGAGCTAACAACCGCACCAAACTTGGTAAATATATGCGTTTCATGGCTTTGTAGCAGAAGCACGTGGCATGTCACACATGTGCAAATAGTTCTGGTAGTTACACGAAGATTTGATCAAATCCTGCCGACCTTATCTAATATCGGTGGATGCTTTCTCATATGTGTACTTGTATGTTCTATTCCACTCGAGACATAACTAGCTATTGCTCGTAAAATTCATGCATCCGATCATAATTTTGATTATAAATTAGTGAACCAACCATCCACATATTGTCACGTGTTTTAACACTTTTCTGTCACTTTTTGAGCTTTTTCTCAAATTCAACCCACCCAAAAAAAGCGGCCGGACTTGCGTTGCCGCTCCACGTGGGAAAACTCTGAACGTATATCTAGTTGGTGGTAACATGCGGTTAAAGATGACGTTTTCTTTTGGACTCCATTAAAGAAGATGACAAGCGTTAAAAAAGTGACATTGATATAAGTTGATAACTTTTGCTGATAACTATAAGTTTATTTTTAATCGTAGACCTGAGCGCAGTTAGCTTCTAGGTTTTGAAAGTAGTACATATAATTGAAATTTCTTGAATAATGTGACGTTTTATCCCTTGAAAATCAAAATACAGATTTTGTTAGACTATATAGCAGCCAACGAAAAAAAAAATCAAATATATATATAGTTTACATTTTTATTTTTTTAACTAATATATCTACTCTTAAATAGTTTAATACTATTTTTTTTTAACGTATATAGAAACTCTCGAATAGTCACGTTTTAGATTCTAAAAAGTGAAAAATGTATATTTTTACAGAAATGATAAACCATATAAATATGAAAGCAGACTCCACTAACTCAAATGAATTTATAAAAAAAAAGATTTGCCTAAAGTCCTGCTCGTGTTAAGTATTTAGAAACTTTCGTACTACTACTACTTATATAGATCGAAAAGAACAGCCTTGAAATTTCACGCAATCAATGAGTGAAAAATGATTAGATACGGTCAACGGTCGGTCTCCTTTTTAGAGAAAGTACACGCGTGAGATCGTACGTGTCGATTCCCATCGCTCTCTCCCAAAATAAACATGCTTCGGACCGCTATAGTCCAAATAGTCTGACGTAAGCAATGACAAAACTTACCACCATTATCATCTGCCACGTGTCAATCTACATCTCCTTAGGATCTTACAATGAATCCTCCACTACAATCTAAAAGTGAAAAAACATTTTTACTATTTCTGCTGAGATTCCATTCTGCTCGCCACGTGTCGAAGCCATTCGGCATATATATTCATATCTCTTCTTCGGTTTCAGAAGTTTCAAAACATCTTCATGAACAAGAAACAATAAGAGGAAGAAAAGGTGAATAATGATGAAAGCAGGGACTGATTTGCAATTTCCACCGGGATTTAGATTTCATCCTACAGATGAGGAGCTCGTCCTCATGTATCTCTGCCGTAAATGCGCGTCGCAGCCGATCCCTGCTCCTATCATCACTGAACTCGACTTGTATAGATATGATCCTTGGGACCTTCCCGGTACGTTCTTGTTTTCTTTTTTAAACCACAGAAGAAGAATAGTCGGTTTGGTTTAACCGGTTTAAGAATTTTACAGACATGGCTTTGTATGGAGAAAAGGAGTGGTATTTTTTCTCACCAAGAGACCGGAAGTACCCAAACGGTTCAAGACCGAACCGAGCAGCTGGTACCGGCTACTGGAAAGCGACAGGTGCTGATAAACCGATCGGTCGTCCTAAACCGGTTGGTATAAAGAAGGCTCTTGTATTTTACTCGGGAAAGCCTCCACGTGGAGAGAAAACCAATTGGATTATGCATGAGTACCGGCTTGCAGACGTTGACCGGACGGTTCGGAAGGGAAATAGTTTAAGAGTGAGTGATTAACCGATTCAAACCGGGTTTTTAAATATGAGTGTGAAACGGGTTTTGTTAACCGGATGTGTGTTGGTTTGAAACAGCTGGACGATTGGGTGTTGTGTCGTATATACAACAAGAAAGGTGTCATCGAGAAGCGACGGAGCGAGGTAGAGAACGGTCATGTGACGGCTCCGGTTATGATAAACTTCGACAAACCGGAAATGATAGGCTGCTCCTCGAGCTGCTCGGACCAGCAAGTGGTGTCTCCGGAGTTTAAGACCGAACCGAGAAGATGGAGTAACGCCCTCGAAGTTCCGTTTAGTTATGTGGATGCCATCGCAGATAACGAGATTGTGTCACGGCTGATGAGCGGGAATCAGATGTGGTCGACGCTTGATCCACTTGCGGTTCGGCAGAGAACTTTCTGAAGCTGTCACGTGCGTGAGTTGGTGGAGAAGTGGAGGCTTACTACACGGCCGTTGCACGTGTATGTTAACCGGTTTGAATTCTCCATGCTAAACCAGAGGGGAAGGGATTGGGCCTTTTGTGCAACAATTGGGCCTTGGTTTTGCTCCTTGGTTAATAGGGGATACACAGTATACATTATGTATGACCCAACTCAGCAATATAATAGTTCTCTACAGTATTTAATTTTGGAATAAATTCATTTGAAAATCTGATATATAGTACTGAGAATATTTTTCATAATAGAATTACGGGATGAAAAAAACCTTTATGAAAGCTTTGTTATATAAGTTGAAAATGGAAAAAAGTTTCTCAGCTACACGAAGTTTACACTAATATGGTGGAAACCATCCAATGTATAAAAATGTGTCAAGAACTACACGAAGTATATGTTAATACATGCCACATATACGAAGTAAATGATATTATGGTGGCAACATCACAATCAGATTTAATTGTTCTTAAGCTAAGTTAATGGGGTCAATCCGTAATTTATGAAACTTAACAAAATTAATTAATTTTAATTATTAAAGTTAATAAAATAATAAACTTAATAAATTAATAAACATAATATTTTTAAAAACTTAATAAATTAATAAACATAATATTTTTAAGATTTGATAAAATTAATAAATATATATTTTTTTAAAAAACTTAAGAAAATTATTAAACTTAATAAAATTATTAAACTTCATAAACTTAATAAACTTAACAAACTTAATAACTTATAAACTTAATAAGTTATTAAACTTAATAAGTTATTAAACTTAATATACTTAGCAAACTTAATAAACATAATAAATTAATAAATTTATTAAATTATTAAACTTAATAAATTTATTAAATTATTTTGTTTATTAGTTTTAGGATTCTAGCTTATTAAACATAATAATTTTTAAAAACTTAATAAACTTTATAAACTTAATAAGATTTATTAAACTTAAGAAGATGTATTAAACTTAATAAATCATTAACTTTATTAAGTTTGTTAAGTATAGTAAGTTTAATAACTTATTAAGTTTATAAGTTATTAAGTTTGTTAAGTTTATTAGGTTCATGAAGTTTAATAATTTTATTAAGTTTAACAAAAAATATTAAGTTTATTAAGTTTTAAAAAATATTATGTTTATTAATTTTATTAACTTTAATAATTAAAATCAATTAAGTTTATTAAGTTTCATAAATTACGGATTGACCCCATTAACTTAGTTTAAGAACAATTAAATCCGATTGTGATGTTCCACCATAATATCATTTACTTCGTACATGTGGCATGTATTAACATATACTTTTGGTAGTTCTTGACACATTTTTATACATTGGATGGTTTCCACCATATTAGTGTAAACTTCGTATAGTTGAGAAACTTTTTTCCGTTGAAAATAGTAAATATATGAGAAAATATGATTTTTTATTAAACAAAATATTTAAAAAATACAGGAAGATTAGGACATAGGTTATTTTTGGCTATTGGTAGACAGATAAGTTCACTCTTTTCTCTACTACTGGTTTTGTTCATTATATAGAACGTATTTTAATCAAAATAAATGAAATAAGCAGATCAATGACCATGCAAATAGCCTTTTAGCAACCTGCAACTGCAATGAGATGGGAGGATAACAAGGTGGCATCGAGACTGCCAATAAAAAACATCACTAGAGGTAAAAACATTCTGTCACTGTTCAGTTAAAAAAAACAAATCATATTAAAGCTACTTCTGCAGTGTTTCCAAAATGGTAAAGATACAAGAACACACACATGTTTACTTTGCTGCAGCAACCAAGGCAGACCTGGCGTGTGTGAAAGTAGAAATGATAGCTCCAAGCTGCAGTTTGTCGTTGCATCCAAAACTCAATCTGTACCTGTAAACCAATCAAACAGACTCAAAATTAGAAACAAAAAACTACTATTCTCCTTCTCACTAGTCTACTCCAGGAATTAACAATGAAACAATCCACACAAGTTTTAACAAAATTGTACTAACTCGGTGTCTGCCAAATCGTTTATCAGTTGAACTCTGACATGTGAAGGCATCTTGATCTTAAAAACAAACCTGTTGGAGAAACAAAATTTAGTTAGTTCACAGACACATGGTTAACACAACAGCAGAATCAGCAAGGAACCAAGTATGTCACTCACATGGTAACCTCTCTGACGATATCAACAATGGCAAGTCCTTTTCTCGTCTTCATTTCTGATATTTCTGCATAGTTTAAGGTAGCAATCAAGATGAGCCAGGACAAAAATGGAATCAATTAACACTAGTAAGTTATATAGTTCACATACTTTTGTAGCTTTCAGCAAATGATTCATTTAGAAGCCAATGAGATATCTGCTCAATGTCCTTTGGCAATAGGTTTCCTGTGCAGAGGTAAACCTCTTCCTCTGTAATTTTCTCTGACGCCATATGCGTTGACTGCCTCCCACACACACATTCACCCGTTAGAAGTTCTTCTTCTCTGGATTTACAATAGGAGGTAGAAGCAAAAGGAAATATTCACAGAACCTGCAAAATGTTCATGGCTTTTCTCATGTCCCCATTGCTCAGCCGTACAAGAGCTGCTAAACCACTCTCACTTACATCAAGCCTAGTCCATTTATAGAAAAAGAAGCAGAATTAACAAAGAGAAAGAGTGGAGAAAACACACAACAAACAAATAGCTTATATGATTGAAGTAAACTTTTATTCTCACCCTTCAGCTTCTATGACATGTTTAAGACGTTGACTCACATGAACAGGATCAAGAGGAGCAAATCTAAATCGAGTACATCTGGACTGTAAAGCTGGGATGATCTTATTAACATGGTTTCCGATGAGCGCAAACCTAGTACTCTTTGTATACTTCTCAATCACTAGCCAAATTTTAAGAAAAGAAGAATGGTAGTTAGTACCGTGCCTTCAGCATAAAAAGACAATAGAGAGAGCTACAAAGTATATAAAGTATAACCTCTACGCAGAGCAAACTGAGCATCTTTTGTCATGGCATCTGCTTCATCTAGCAGAACCAACTTCACCGAAGATTTTCCTCTGCAATCAATGATATCAAATTCTTTTATTATTACACAAAACTTGCAACACAAAATGATATCTTATTCTTCCACTCAGCACGATGCTACAGCTAAAAAATAGGTGAAACCATCGCAAAGCATTTCATATTCTGAGTAAAAAAAGACAAGTTGACGAATCCAAATGCTCATCACTATGACAAACAAACCACAAAAAATAAAAATAAAAAAGGCAAAAATGGAATGATGATAGGAAACTCACAAAGAGAAGCTCTGAGTGCTAGCAAAATCCTGAATCTGCTGCCTCACAACATCAATACCTCTATCATCAGAGGCATTGAGTTCAAGAATCATATTACCGTACTTGGGGCCATAAAGTTTCCTAGCAACAGCTAGAATGGTGGATGTTTTGCCTGTACCGGGAGGACCATAGAGCAGAAGATGAGGCAGCTTATTCTCATTGGTCAACCTATCAACTGTTTTACATTAAAAACAAAACCTTCAGTGAGCAAAGAAGGTAAGAAACAACATAACATAGCATTAGAAGATAACATTCACTTAAGGCATAATCAGAGGCAAACCCATTTCAAAAGACTCAATTTTTAAACCACTATCGTCTAGGGTTTCGCGAAATCTCGTGAATTCTATATTAAATCCCTAAAATTGGTGATGAAATTAGAAGGCAGAGAGTGTGTGTGTGTGAGTTCAATTACTCGTATCGACAATGTCACGATGTGCTGCGACGTCGTCGAGCGATTGAGGACGGTACTTTTCGACCCAAGGAGTCGCCTTGCTCTGCGGCGGAGCACCGAAGCCGGCGGCGACGTCTTTGACCTTGTTACTCGGCTTGCGAGGATGATTCTCGTCTACGTCAATGTCCATCGCTGATGTTGTCTCAGTCATCTTCGCCGTGAATTGCTTTCGGAAACTCTAAGCTCAAGGCGCCTCCTTTCAGTCTCTCTCTTTCTCTCACTGATGGCGCCAAGCTCTAGACTTTTTGAGGTTTTGCTTCTTCCGTCATTGTCTTCGCGAAGAGTTACCATTTACCCTCGAGAAATGAAGGTTGTATGGGGGGATTTCAGTAATTTTCAGCTCACTTTTTACTATGTGTTAAACCATGCGTTTAAATGAACCATAAAACTTAAACCTGCGACTTCGGTTTTCCGAAACTGAACCGAACCAAACCGTCGGTTTTCGGTAAACCGAAGTTTTTAAAAATAATTCCAAAATAAACCGAATGTAATTTTGGTTAGTTTCTGTTCAGTTATCGATTTATTTCGGTTTTCAATTTATTTCCATCGATTTTTAAGTTTTCGGTTAACTTTGGTATATTTTTTTCCAAAATATTTGGTTATTTTCGGTTCGGTTTTTCGGTTATTTTCGGTTCGGTTTTTCGGTTATTTTTGGATATTTTCGGTTATTTTCGGTTTTTAATTTTTTTTATAGAAAAAAATCAAAAACCGAATCGAACCGAAGACCAAATTAATTTTTAAAACCATACCGAACTGAACCGAATTGAAAACCGAAACCGAAAAAACCGTTTCGGCCCATTCGGTTCAGACAAAAATCCCACGCCTAATAAAACTGCTACTACTAAACTTTGTCATGGCATTATCCCATGACAATGATCCTGCACAACAAGAGAAGTTGGTAACTGCTAAATATTCCACTAGAAAAATTTGTCGTTAGTTATTGAATGTTTATACCTTATCCCGTAACTGCTTTCTCAGACGAATGTTGGTATTGGCAGAATGAGCTTTCATATTCAATGAAGAAGAAGACAAAAGCTGAGTATGAAGCAATTGGAATAAGTCAATATAAGCCCTTACCTACTATTGCTTCCTCAACATCATAAATTTCATCAGTGTTTTGAGTTATCCTTAGTTTTGGATAAAAAAACAAGTTGCTATAACATACTTAGTTTTGGATAATTAAATGACTTGTCCCACAGCTAAAAGCAATGAGAAGTACTAGTATTAACCAAATCTTGTTTAACTTTTTTGAAAGTAGGCTGAATAAAGTCATGGAAATCTCGATCTCTAATCAATTCCATAGTCCATGCTTCTTCGGTTTTCTTGTCAAAAAGATACAACCAAAAGTCTCTTATGTTAGATTTCATCTCTTCTCTCGCATATTTAGTCCACCTCATATGCTCTTCAACTCTTCTTCAATATGAGACGTGAATCCCAAACCATATAATCACCTTCGCGAAATTGGAGAGTTGGATATAAGATTATCTAGATCTCTAATTCTAGTGTCATATTTATCCCAAGTGATTGTGATCACTTCTTGTTGGACAGACATG